TTTACTGAAATATGTCAGTTGATCTTCATCTCTATCTTACTGAAAAATAAGGATGAAAGAAGTCCTGATTGTTATTATTTATGCATCATATATTATAACAATAAACTATACACATTAAAAGAAAAGCTGAGGGTACTGAACATATTGCCACAAGACATGGGACAATGTATATCTTTGATCTAGAACATTTGCACATGCAGTTACTTAGATATCCTTAATGTGTTTCTTACGCAACTAATATTGCTTTATAAATAAATTCAGGTCAGTTTGCTAGCGCTCAGTTCATATTTTCTGGTGTTACTCATAAATGCTATATTTCATGAGTAAAATCAAAAATGTCACTCATAAATGCTATACACTAGGGTGCATATCTTAGATGCCATTTTGGGGGGGGAGCTCCAAACTAAAGCAACACTGCTCTATAGAAAATACTATGCCATTATGTATTAACTAAATAGTAATATGGCAGCATAAAACTCATTTTTTTTTACTTTAAGTTTCAACTCAGTTGACTAAGCAATTGTCCGGTGTCTGTGCACTGTTGCTCATATACACCATTTCAGTGCTCTGCAAAACCAAAACAAGTACAGTGTGTGAAGGAGCTCCAGTACTCTAGCTGAATACCTCCATCAAAGTTCCCTCTAACTGGAAAAGAAAATGACTATAGCCCTTTCTGCAAACACCAGAGTCCATTTGGTGAAGGGTAAAACAACAACTCTTTAAACGTTCCCACGAACAAGGGGATGAAGCTCCAGGGTAAGACTATTGAGTCCGTTCGGTAGTTTGTTCGTTTTTAAACTGCCGAACTAGACTGACCGCAAGCCCTGATTCTCTGGAACTGTTTTGGGCATGGTACCATGCGGGCGGTCGGTCAAAATTAAGACTTCCAGGAAGTTGCTGAACCCTGAACTGATCTGGGTGATTTTTGGATATGTTGGTCACCCAGATCAGGGCTGTTAGAAGATGTGACTTTTGTGGGGGGTTTGTATGTTTAAGGTATTTTTTGGGGGGTTGAAATTTTTTTTCTATACTTGGAGATAATTGGATTAGATTAGTACAGTTCCTGATCCAATTGTCTCCCAGGCACAGAGGAGGGGTTATCAGATTTTGTATGGGAGTGACCTGGACCTGGGAGCCAATGTAATTGTGTATTGATGTCTACTGTGGTTTACTGTCAGGTCCAAGGGGATGTCATAAAAGGCCACTTTTGGCTACCATTAAACTGAGATTTGTTTTACCCTTCATGAAGTCTAGGTTCATGTTTGGGTGATTGGAGAGCTATATTCACACTCTGGGGATTGCTATAATCCCTATACTCACTTGGATCACAACACTTGCTCTTAAAAGAGCAGCCTGCTTCGCTCTCTGGACTAGGAGAGGTCTACCTACTGGAAGCTGGATCCTGGTCTTGGGTCCAGGGTGGGTGGAGAACAGCGAGACCCCAACCAAGCTGCAGCGGTTTGTGGGGTTTACGGTGGTTATGGTGCTTGCAAGTACTAGGAAGCAGCGATTGACGGAGGTAACCGGTCGGGGTGCCAGGCAGTATGTCACAGGTATTAGTCGCACAAGGCAGCCACCTTGTACTTGTCTGATGTAGAGTTCTAGACAATCAGCAAATCCTGTAGAACACGTTGCAGCTGCTTAGGTCCCATAGAGCAACCCCAGGGATGGAAAATAGAGCATGGCAGTGAATACAACAGGCTAGAGAGCCAGGGAGAGTGATTATACTCTTTTAAAGGGAAGTTTGACTTTGAATCCTGCACCAGTTGAAGCATAATTGGATCACAGTTTCAATCTTGCCAGGTATGATTATGGTGTCAGTTTACCGGGAGAGGTATCAGCTACAACCAGGCTTCCTAAATGTCCTGATTTCAGTGGGACAGTTCCTATTCAGGGTCCTGTCCCACCATCCCAAGTTTGTTCCCTTGTGTCCCACATCATTAGACAAGCTTGCATTGTACTGAGGACACTAGGACCATTCAGTAGTGCACTTTGCACATTCTGCCATGAGTGTCTCGACTGTCCTATTTGTGGGATAAAACTCTAAACATTAAATATGAACATGGAAAGGTTTTCTCCGCACTAGCATAAGGCAGATAAAACTAGCTTGGGACATGAACGGGAACGCGCTAAAGGACAAGTTATTTGAGTTATTGTCCCTTCTCAATTTTCTCTTGCATTGAGTTTTGTTTGCAAACTCCTAAGGTTCCCCAAAAGGTAAAAAGGCAATCCCGGAGGGGGGCAGGGTCTGACCGTCATGGTGGAGAGATGTGCTTCACTGGAGCCCCTCTCCTATGCTGCCCAGGGCCTCATTTCTCATCTGCATTGGGCTTCTGGGAGACTCATTGCAGGGTTTGAAAGTCTAATAGAGGCTCATATCAAGCGTCTCAGATCATGCTGCATGGCTCAGATCATGCGACCTTGTGCGCACTGGACTGGAGAGGCAGCCGATCTCTCGGGCCGAAGTTGCTCAGTGGCAATTAACACTAGTTGGGGGCCACGCTACTGCCCCCTTGGACCTGTGGGTGTAATCCCGGACCAACTGGGAGTGCGCGCTAACACCACAAAGGCTACTACAAACAACAAAATGGCAGATGCCGCAGAGGTCAAATCTGATATCTTATCCAGGCTGGAGAGTATGTTCAACAATTTCTGGTGCAAGCTGGAGGATAGGATGCACCAACCTGTCCTAAGCCATTCACATGAGCGTTCATTGCAACTGCCGACACCAGACATGCAGCGGAAGACCACAGTTGCGGCAGTGCATTGGGCCCCAAAATAGTGGCGAGATGGGAAATATGCCTCAGCACAAAGCAGAGCGACACTCAAGCCAGAACCATTGTGACCCACTGCAGAGACCGTCCAACAGTCGGAGGTACTGATACTATCCTCAGTCTCAGCTCACTGGTTCCCATCGAAGTTCGGAGTCCTGGCTCTCATCCCTCAGCTGCGGGACTTAGCTATACCCCTGGTTGGTGTTGGTTAGTCTAAGCTGTTGGACTGCATTAGGAAATGCTCTTGGCCTTCATTACACTTTCTAACCATTGCATCTTGTCTCTGTCTTATTGTGTTATCTCCAGCCTAGAACTTATTTAGAACCCAGTACTGTGTCGAAAGCTGTATTCAATTATGCAGGCACATGTCAATGGTAGTACTTAATATAGTTATGCCATGTTGGATTGTATAAATGGAATTAGATCCTGTGACTTGCCATGACACTACAGTTAAAAATATTCACTGTCATGTTTGAAGAACAATTGATGGATAATTCCAGCCTCAAAGCATGCAAATGCAATTACTTTCTTACTTTACTTAAGTTTAGTTTAGAGTTTACAGTTTACAATATAAGAAGGCAGTGTGCATTGATCAGTGATATTGCAGGCTTAAGTTATTTTGGCATTGTATATCAACCAACATCTTCACCCTAAACATTCTTAACTTTTATAAATACAGCTTTCCCAGAAAATGTCCCCTTACAAGATAGCCACAATTTAGAAAAAAAAATTTGGGGCTACTGCTGTTAATCTAAAAAGCAAGCATACAATAACATAGTGTAATACAGGAACATTAATATGTAATCTGATGATTGAATTCATGTCCTGCACCATCTGTGTTTGGTCCCGTCCGTTGCACAACGTTACTTCCGGTGCGGCCTTTTCCTTGGAAGTGACGTTGTGCATTGGACAGGACTGAACACATATGGTACAGGACATAAATTCAATCAACAGATTACAACTGGGAGAGGACACCGCCCACAGAAGCAACAATGGGACTATGTCTATCCTTATTTAAAGAAAGACTTTAGGGAGAGCAGGCAGGCAGCTTACTCCCCTGAGCGGTATTTTATAGATTTTCTATGGGATCATAGTTCATATGGTGGACGAAACATGTTGGACCATTTTCTTTTACTCTAAGTTTAGTTTTATGTACTTTCTCTAACCCCTTAGTGACCAGACCATTTTTAAAATTTTCTTACCGTTAAGGACCAGGGCTGTTTTTACATTCCTGCGGTGTTTGTGTTTAGCTGTAATTTTCATCTTACTCATTTACTGTACCCACACATATTATATACATTATATACCCAATGTTAACATGTTCTTAGCTGTTTTTTTGCAAGTTATAGGGCTATAAGTACAAGTAGGACATTGCTGTTTCAAAATATATATTTTTAAAATTTATCAATAGTGACAATGTAACTAAACCGTCATTATTTTTTGCCTAGATTAGGTGTTTTTAAAAACCTAACAAAATCTGTCAGCAGCAAAGTTGCTGTTTCGTAGATAAGGGTGTGCGCTGGATATTCATTTTAATTGTAACACTGTTATCTGTCATAAATCTCTGAATCACACCTCACATGTACATATTTTTTTAAAGTAGACAACCCAGGGTATTCAATATGGGGTATGTCCAGTCTTTTATAGTAGCCACTTAGTCACAATCACTGGGCAAAGTTAATATTTATATTTGTTTGTGTTAAAAATGCAAAAACTATTATGAACGCTAACTTTGGTCAGTGTTTGTGACTAAGTGGCTACTAAAACAGATTGAACATCCCCCCTTTGCAAATTCTTTGGGTTATCTTCTTTTTCAAATGGTATGCCATCATAGATGTAATTCTCATTCCTGGGTTACTATACACTCTCAAAGGCAACATAAGCTATCATCAGTGAAAGTGCCGTTTGTGTGTGAAAAATGCAAGAAATTTCACTTTCACTGACAATATCATCGCTGTGATATGTTTTACTGTTTTAAAATACTAATATTTGTGTTCAGCAAAGTATCCCGAGTAAAACAATACCCCCCCATGTACAGGTTTTAGGGTGTCATGGAAAGTTACAGGGTTAAATACAGTGCTAGCAAATTAAATTCTCTGGACTTTCTGCCTGGGTTGTCAGGCAGGTCCCACAATTTGCAATCAATAAAATTACTTAATTATGTAAAAATATTACAAAAATATGCATGTAGAATTTAAATATATATACATATTTATAAATTTGAAGTCTACGTGTATATTTATGAAGTTATATATGTAATTATGTATATTGTATTATTTTCATTTATTTATATATACATAGATATATATCAAATGTCCATAGACATATGTACATAGATATATATACAAATATATATATATATATATATATATATATATCATTTCATTCTAAGGGTATTTTGATATAAATATATATATATTAATATCAAAAGACAGTTAGAATAAAATTACATATATATAATTTAAAAAAAAATATTTAATTTTTTTTTTACTTATTATTTATATATATATATATTTTTTTAATTCTTTATTTTTCATGTGCATAAGGTGACACAACCCGCTTGAAACGCCACAACAGCTGTGTCAAGCGCATTAACAACAATCGTTTTATGGTCATACTGTGGTTTCGTATATAAACTGCACATTTTATATTTAGTTATTGTTAGCCTTGAGGACATTCTCATTCTTGTTTCGTATAGTAGGTACTAGGTAGTGTAGTGGATAAGCTAGAGTGTGTGTGCTGTTCTAGCCTCTTGTGTGTTCGTTAGTGAAGTGTCTGTGGAGAACTTGGTTTTGTGCGTGTCTAGCATGTCTGGTCTGGCTATGGACGGTTTGTGATAAACGCATGCCTGAGAGGGTCAGGTGGCTGGTGGCCTGTCGTGTGGGTCGCTGTCCCTTGTTACCCTGGGAGAGGGTGGGGTCTGGAAAGGCATTTGTTGGCCTGGTCTCTGTGGTGGGTCTGACCTCTGTGGTAGGTCTGCATTATATACTAAGTGCTCTGATGTGGAATGCTGTGGATACTGTGTGTTTTGTTCTGAGGCCTGGGATTGTGTGTCTACGCTGGGGATAGGAAGTAAAAAGCAAGCATAAAAAACAACATAAAAAACAACAACAGATAGCTTGTGCACATTAACTGTTGTGCCATACTGTAGTCCGAGTCCGTAAGTGTTTTGCCGTTTGCCATCACGGCCTTCGATTATAGGAGTCAACATTTAGCGTTCGAGTAGGCACTGCCGGGTCCTGGCTGCGGCTGGTAGAGGTTCGGGAGAGTAGTGGCCACCTGTGGAGGACCTCGCTTGGGGTGATGGGCGGTGTGCCGAATGTCCCGATTTTGGGGGTCGTGTCTGCCTCTGGTTGTGGAGATAAGTCTCGGGTGAGTGTGGGTGTCATGAGGTCCGGAAACCTCCTCAGTCGTTGGGGGTTCTAGCGGGGAAGTGTGTACCACTTCTGGTTGACCAGCTTGTGTGGGAACATTCTTTTCAGCTCAGGTGGTGGTGGTTGTAGCTGGTGTGTTGCCCCTTCCCTGTGGGACAAATGGGGTTATCTTGGCCAGGTCCCAGCGGTTTGTTACCCCAGGTTTCCCCGGGGCTTCCCTGTCATGCAGCTCCGCCGGTGGCAGTCTCAGTGAAGGCAGAAGTGCCCCCGACAGGTCGGCGTAGAAGGACAAGTCCATATTTGGGCTGAGCCCTTTAAGGCTGCGAGGAGCGCCATTTTATCCGCTGTGCTCCGAAATCTCACCACGAGGTCTCGGGGTGCGCCTCTGGCGCCCTCCGGGGTTTAGGGATCCGGAAGGCCGCCTCTATGCCGTTGTATTTGGCCTGTTTGGTGGGTATTAGGTTTCCCACGAGTCTCCTCACGAAGTGTGGGAGTTCTTCTGTGGGGACACCCTCTGCAACTCCTCGCACTTTCAAGTTATTACGTCTCCTGGAGTCTTCTAGCGCTGCAAAGCGGTGTTCTGTTTTGGCTTGCTGTTGTTTAAGAGCACTTATCTCTTGCTTGAGTTCCGCTAGTTCGTGCGAGTGTTGTGTGGCCGTTAGTTCTGCTGCATCTATGCAGAGATGCCGTGACAGGTTCCGAGTCTCCCGGATTCTTGTTTGGTTGTGGCTGCTTGCCAGTGGGTAAGTTGTTGATGGTTTCCTCTGCGTAGAAGTCCCCAGAGGAGTCAGAGAATTCCTCGAGCTCGGCAGCCATATTGGGTCCGTACGCGCCTTTTGCCTGACGGAATAAGTCGCCTATGGTGGACCCTGTTTTGGGTCGATCTGGTTTCAGTTTTTTTGTTTTTCTTCCCATTGTTGTTGTGGGCAGCTAGATCTTTGGATCTGTGGTTAGTATCCCCTAAATCCGTTGGATTTCGTTGTTCGGCCTCGGAGCCTCTCTGGTATGCGACCGCTCTGTTCCACCATCAAGCTCCGCCCCCTATTATTTATATTTTATAATAGTTAATATAAATATTATATATATGTGTGTAATTTAATTCTAAGTGTAATTTTATATTGATATATTAATATAAAACACTTAGTACGACATTGTATATAAGATATATAGATATATGTTATATAGATATAATATAGGTGTGTGTGTGTATGTATATATAATATATATATATTTTTATATATATATATATATATATATATATATATATATACTAACATATATATTTTTTTATTTTACAGATGCAGGGATACTGCCTGTCAGTTTAGGCCTGTCAACACGCTATTTCAGAGTGATCACATGGCACGCGGGGGCCTAATTTGCGCAAGGGGGGCTGTCTGGAAAGAACACCAATCGCTGGCGGGGGAACAGCGGCGATTGGGTAAGTAAGAAGGACTTCGAGGACGTACTAGGTAGGTCCGCGGTTGTTAAGGACCGTTTTTTGTCGTACATACCTAGTACGTCCTCAGTCTTTAAAGGGTTAAATGAAAATAAAGCAGCATTTTACACCCTGAATCTTGTAATCATCTTGGAAAAAAGTGTTTGCATTCCAAAGCAGAAAGAACCATTGGAACCCC